TGGGGAGTTGAGGGGTTGGGGGGTTGGGGTGTCTGGTTAGAGTCCAAGAACTGGGAAGCACTGAAACCTAAAGCTGAATCCCAGGCATCATGGCTGCATCAGTGGATTCAAGCAACTGCAAACCAACCCCACCCCCATCCCGCGATAGTCCCGACGCTTGCTTCTGCGTGCTTGAAGAAAGGCTCCAGGTTGCTTAGTGTTATGCTCTAGGTAGGTTTGTTGAAATACATCAAAGGATCCTAGCTTCCGTTTGCTTAAGAATATTTGTTTTTGTTTGATCCCTTGTTGGTTTGAAAAGGAAGGTATCACTGGACATTATGTTTGTATTTTTTCCGGGGGTCGAAACACCAAATGGTGTTGACGCCGTTTGGCGTAAATCACGGGCGGGTGCCTTCCAGGCGAGCCACGCCACGCGCATGTGCGCCGCTCTGCCGCAGTAGAAGCTTTGCGGACTTCCAAGCCCGGTGGATGGTGGCGAAATCCATTTCGCACCAGGGTGTGGGTCAAAAAGTGGTACCCAGAAGATCCCAGAAGGGAACCCTGGTAAATGGAAACAAAGACTAAACCCTGCGGTGGTGGCTAATTTTGACCCATACTGTACCCATTTAAGAACCATCGTTGAAACCATAACGTCTTGTTGGTATTTGCAGGAGAATCATCATTCCAGGAGGTTCTTAGGCGGTGCAGGATTTCGTCCATCCACAGTAAGGACTGATTTGGCTCTTTCCAGATGTGACTATAGGTCAAAACCACTGGGATCCCATTTTGGTTGGTGGGTGCACCACCCGTTTTAGAACCTATTTTAGTGGGGATTGGGAGGTTCAGGGGGTACAGGCTTTTGAGCTATGGCCATGTCTTTGACCCAAGGGACCAGACCAAACTTTTTGGAGGGGTAGTTGGGGGCTGGTTTGTAGCCCCGACTCAAGCAGGCGGTCACGTGGTGGCTTAGCCGGGCTATTGGTGGAAGAATGAAACGAATCTCTGAATGACTTCATGTATGGCCACTGTTCTTCTCCTTTGGAAGGGAAGACTGGATGAACTAGAGCTGCGGGGTCAGAGAGACAGAATATTAGCTGTCAGGCAGGACTTGTTTGGAAGATACAAGCTGCGTCTGTCAACATCGGTTTCAGCCGCAGCCATTCACAGACCCCGCTTGAAAGGGTGGGCTATGAACCGAAGGAGACCGGGCCGCGAGGCGGTCTGCATGTCACATCTTGGTTAGGATACCCAACATATTCCCATTTCCCTCAACAGCGCCTTCTGCCCGCGGACACATCAGTTGAGTATCGGATGTCACCCCAAACCCCAAACCCCTGCATCCGCCCCGCCTTCGCATCGTTTTCCTCGCCTTAGGAGTCGGGGGACTGTCCCCACGAGGAGTGCTGCGACCCGAGAGAGCCGTGTGCTTAGAGCATAGTATTGGTGTATTCACGAACCAGAATGGGGCCCAGGGGGGCACCAACTCTTCGGTCTTTCATAAAAGTTGTTGGTTGCGTTGCTCCGCCCTATTTTGGCTGGTGGTCTCATTTGTTAGTGGCGCAGAACAGTCGGTCAGTCTCAGTCCGACCTGCGGATTGGGAAGCCACGGAGCCAGCGGGGCAACCAATCCATCGGGCCTTTTTTGGGGGTCTGGAGAAAGGTGACCTTTTAATTGTTGGGATCGCCGGAAGCCGTTGGTAAGCCATCGGAGCTGTACTTTGCGGGGAAGAAAACTCTTTCGGGTTTCGGGGGAAGGGGGGTTGAAAGCACAGCCAGAAGGAAACCGACCACGAGGGTCCTTGAGTTCCCCCATACTCCATACCCAACTATTACAGATATAATGTGTATATATATATATATATATGTATATATGTGTGTGTGTGTGGGTGGGCGGGCGGGTGGGGGGTGGGTGGGTGGTGTGTCGTTTGAAGCTTCCCTTTTCAGGTTCCATTGTGGGGTCCAAGCCCCTTTTTTGATGGCCGAAATCCTGCACCACCTAAAAACCTTGAAAACATAATTATCCTATTTAGTTGTCAAGAAACCAGGGTTTCTCACAGTGGTGCAGGATTTCGTCCATCCACAGTATTATGATTGTTGCTCGGTCACAGGATCATGTCCAGTGCCGTGCAACGCTGGATCCACCTGTGATCCATGCATGAAGATCACAGCGCCAAAATCCACAATCCACCTAAGAAACCCTGACATGATCATTCCCCTATTCTAATACCAAGAAACCATGGTTTCCCCCACGAAACCATGGTTTCCCATGGTTTCCCATAGTGGTGTTGTATTTGTAATTCCCCTATAAATACCAAGAAACCACTGTTTTCCATGGTTTCCCGTGGTTTCCCATCATGTTTTCCTTTTTGTTTCGTCCATCCGCGGTGAGGATGTCGTCCAAATTTCTCCCCCCCAACTCGGCCGGCCGGAGGCCCTGCTCCAAGCTCGGGTGCCCGGAGGCGACACATGCCGCCGGAAGCCTCAGCTTTGGGGGGTGGGTTGGGGGGTGGGGGTTGGTGAGCTGGGGTCTTGGCTGGGTTGAGGTTTCCGGGCTGGGGGGGGAAGGGTCCCACTGGTGTTCCATTGGTGTAGAATAAGTGGCTGTGGGTCAAAAATGCGTACCGAAAATGGAACCCCGGTAAGTGGAACCAAAGACTAAAACCTGCCGTCCCCTGGTGGTTTTGTTTTGACCCATACCCAAGTCGCGTGGTTCCATGCACTTCCATACTTCGGCCCATTGCAGCCAATTTTCTAGAGGTCTCGCGAGGGGTTTTGGTTTGTGAGCTAATTAAGAATATGTATTTTCTCGGAAGACACTTACTTCAGGTCGGTGAAGTATTGCAGTACGCTTGATGCTCCTTGATGTACATGTTCGTGGTTTAGGAATCGACCGCCCCGTTCTCCCTGTAGTTTGGACAGATTTGAACTCCTGGTTGATGCCAGCTGTGGCCGCGAGAATTGGCGAATCTGCTCTCGGGTCTGACTTGAGCGTAAGGGAGAAAGGAGGACAATCTCCCGTTGTAGGGAGATCGCAAGCCCCTCTCGCACTGAGTGGCGGCCCTCTCTTTGACGCTTTTGTCAGAGGAGGTAGGCCTATTCCCTCGGCGAGGGAGCAAAAGGGAGAAGGGCAAGGGCAAGGACTACAGCGTAGGTAAACGCTCGGGGCCTGCTGGAAATATGCAGTGAGGGGGAGTTTGAGACCATTGGTGGCTTTTGACCCCAGCGCCCAAGCAGGAACTCAATTGCATTTGAAAGTGCTATAATCACCATGGCGTGGGGGGAGGTAACTGCCTATTTTGAGGACAGCGGGACCTTCAAGTTTCCGGTCTGCGGGAGTCCGGATCACGGCCAGGAAGCAAATTGAAGCTACAAAATGAGAACTCGGAATGCACGGCTCATGGCTTTCCTTGGTCAAGGTGCACCATGCACCGCCAAGTTTCATGCACTTGATGGGGGAGGGTCGGGCCTGGACCCCCTTCATGACCTTCGAATCTCCCGACCTGTGTGCCAAGCATCAAGGATGTTGGTTCCGGTATCTCAACGTCAGCTCCGTCTGGCTTTCAGTGGAGCCTTGTCAAGTGCAAGCTAGAGGGCTGTAAAGCCTTGCTTCAGCAAGAAGTTGCTTTGGGTTTAACAGAGGTTTCAGGCAGGTTAAGTCCAGTCAAGTGTTATGACTGTCAACAGGGTTGGGCAATATTTGATTCAAAGCCACTGAGTCTTCACTGTTTTCATATCATGGTGAGTGAGTCCGTTTTCTCTTACAGACCCCCGCCATCAGCTGTAGGGTGGCAAACCGCGTATGGCAACTCGAGGACAGGCTGGACAAGAACGACCGGTATTGCCAGGGCCCAAGAGTCGCTGAGTTGTTGGCTGGTGAAGTGATGGCAAAGATTTTTCATTTCACAGGGCTCCCTAAAAGATACATGTTGCCCATTTGAAACATGGCTTTTTCCACCAAAATCAATGGAAACCACCATTTACAAGGCAATGTTCATTCAGGTGTATAATGTAAGGATCCCTGTTTCAGACAACCACTGTACTTTCTTGCTCTCCGGCTTGACATTTTTCAGTTTAAGCCCTTGGAACATTGATATGCTGAGAAGAGCAAGCCGGCGTCCTGGTGCGAGCCGAAACCAGTCCGGGTCATGAAGTGGGTACAAATGTCATCCTTTTCATTCAATCCTTCATCAGCGCGGCGGTGCGTGGGAGCATTGGCCGTAGCGTGTCTCAGAGTAGTTTGTTTCAGACGCGATTGGAGCAAGAAGGTAAAGGAACCCCGCCGTGACATTCCCGCAGCCCAGGTCTGGGTACAACGTGCGATGCGAAAGTAGACATCGCGGAGTGCTGCGGAAAGAGGCTGGCCGGAGTCACGATTTTTCCTGAGCTTCTTCAAGGGATTCCTTGAAGGGGTGATACCAGTTGCGGGAGTGTGACCCTGATTTGGTGTTTCGCAGGTGAAGGAACCGGTTACGACGCCTGGCTGGATCCGGTGTTTCATTGCTAACTTTTGAAGGTCTCACTGCTAGAGAGCCCTCGAAGATGAGCAGTTCATGCTCAGACTTTGGCAAACAGAATCCAAACACCTAGTTGTGCATGCTCTGCGAGTTGTGCAGCCACACATTCGGATTCTGCAAGCTGCTCCCGTTTCGGTGCAAGGGATGTTCGATGTTTCAGTTCAACGTGTCTTTCCATTTCAGCTTTGTCTTTCAGGCCCTTGGGGCGGCGTTTTTGCTCTTTCATATCCTCCATGAATCGCAAACTCTTCATGGATCGACCAAGGGTTCGTTCGGTTGCCACTATGAGTCTTCAAAGGCCTGATCTCTTATTTTGCGGCCCTAAGGGTTTCTTAGATGCCAAGTGTTCCGTCACAATTGCATTGCCGAGTCCTGGCCTATCTGCCATTTTCTGTCGGCTTGAAATGAGCAGTGCCCACAACAGATTGACTTTGGGTTCATCTTGCGTCTAAGATTGTTGCCTGAGAACATGCCGTATCACTTGACATTTTGGGACGAGTCCAAGAAGACATGGACGCAGAGGCTTGGATTTTGATGATTGGCATGTTGTTGGCAGACTCCGTTGAGTTTGCCCTGATCGCGTCAGCATTTTGGCGGCAATTGAGCCGCCTGCGCAGCAAGATATTGATTTAGTATGCTAGTTGGGCAGGTGTCAGATGCCCACCCCACAAAAAAGGAGTTGTTGGAATTCCATGCTATAGTTCCATTGTCTGTCAGTGGGAAGACAGACTACATTGATAAGCGGCACTGGGGGAAGAAGGCCCCAACCCCACTCGCCCTTAAGCTAGGCGCCATATCTCATAGCTCCAGCGTGTATTTGACAGTGTGGTTTGTACCTGGCAGCGGGATGTTTGGCAGATGTTTGCGCACCTGTCCAATTGACGCACCGTGCAACTATGACAATGGAGGATTCGTTCGGGGTTCCTCCCACACAGGTGACGGGCTTGGAACACCGTAAATGTGTTTGCCGAGTTTATGCTCTAGCAGGGTAAACAGCAACATATCCTTGCGAGCTACCCAACCATTAAACGTATACTTATCTGGCCATGGGGCACAACCTATGGCTTCATTTTGAGGTGGATGAACATCCATTTGTCACCTATTTTGATGTTCACCAGGGGTACAGGGTTTTGACCCACAGCCATCTATGAAGTGGCTCCACCGGGAAATGCCCTCAGGGCCGTTTGCCAGAACATGACGTGCCCAGCAGCCACGCACGTGAGGCCGCGACGGGGGGGCGGGGGTCAGCACGTAAGTTAGTAGGGCTGTCCGCTTCAGCCAACCAAACCGTGATGGCCTCATGTTGCAACAAGGCAAGGAGGAGTCTTACTCAGTGACTCAGGAAAACTCCAAGAAGCACCTCACACCTCTGGCATGTCCCGTACTTCAATATATCATATGAATGCAATCGGACTACCTGTAAGCCAAGTCAACCTTTGCCAACCCTTTATCAAACCCAAATCGGGATACAGAGGCTAGGACGATACCAGTCTCCCAACGCCCAAGGAGAGGCTGGTATATTGGGACAGGTAGCCCAGAAGCTTGCACAAATCTATGTCCGGCGGGCTGGGCGGTTCTGGCAGCTCATCTGAACTGAGTTGTTGACATGCGTCGAACTTCCAGCGTGAAACGTTGGACCGTTGATGCTACCCCCACCCTTTGAAGTCGAACTTAACTTGTGAAGATCACCTGCTGGATGTTCGGGTATCCTATACACTGTTTTTTGTTGTTGTTTGTGTTGGGACACTCCAAACCAGTGATTTGTTTTCCGGGTTGTTTAAGCCCGGAGCTTTGAGGCAGAGTTGGACTGGAGGTGCAATAACTCGCACATGGCCAGTCGCCCATTGATCTGACAAGCCTTGCATGCATCTCACAGTGATTCGTCGCTTGTGTCGCACTCTGTTTGGTCGATGTCGAGGTACCACAAGGTGATGACATCAGTTAAGTCCCAGGTGCATTGCGCAAGTTCATGCGTGCATGCGTTGATGAGTGACTGCCGTGAAGGTTTATTGCTGGTTGTAAGCTGTCGCTCGGGACAGGAAGCCGCTCGCCGTGGCCGCGTGGCAGAAGTTGTCCATGGGCATACCAAGGTCGGAGCGTGAAGGGCATGTGTAAATTGTTGTGGAACGCACCCCTCCTTCTGAACATGCATACGGCACGTCTCGACGTACGCATGGACACAGAGTGGATGTATACCCCTGTGAGAGTTCAACACATAGAGCGACAACTGTCGGTGTGAGGAGAGCCAGCTGTTTTCCGCCATCTGAGGATAGCCTTTGCAAAGGCGTGAACTGCGAGCTGGACGTGGATGGGTCCACGTGCTGCTGGGTGAAGGTGTCGCTAGCTCAGGCGTCAAGTGGCCTTCCTCTTGACCTTTGGCTGGGGGGCATGGGTCAAAACTGGGAAGATTTGGGAAGGGTTTGCAGTCGGAAGCCAAACTGCTTTGGGGCCTCTTCGCGACGATCCACGTGGTTCCCACCAAAAGGAACAGACACCGGGTTCGTGTTTTGCCCGCTCTGGGCGTTTGAGGATGGCTTGAAAGAACTGCCGGACTTTTGCCCCTGCCTAAATGAGATTGGATGCAGATGATGAAGTTTGCAATGCCGCACTGCGTTGCGCTGTTAAGTATCAGATGTTGTGGTTCGTTCGTTGCTTCGCATTGAGCTTGGAAAAAAATGATAGATATTTGGATACTTCCTAGATGTTTTCAAAGCGGCAAGACCAGCATGTGCTTGCCATGATGAGGCATCATCTTCCCCGGAGAACTTGGAACTGGAGTCTCCGCTTTTTCTGATGGACCCTACGCCCCCCGCCCCTCCTATTCCACTGCTCCTAGTCCTTCTCCACTGCTTCATGACTTTGGTGTTTGGCCTTGTCCGTGGTCACTCAGAAAGCCACGTAGTTGTCAGACCCCACTCCTTCGCTGAAACGAGACGCGCGGCATGTTTTCTCAAGCGCGCACTTAGGCCGCGGCAGTGCCCTGTTGGGCTGGAGGAGGGCCATTGCAATCCCAAGAAACATCGGGGCGCCTCGGATGGGAAAGGCTCAAGGGTCAAAACCGAAGGGGAACCCTCTCGCCTGTGTCGGAAGTCCTCCTTTGGAATCCTCTACGAGTCCTGTACATGAGTCATAGTATGAGGATCGTTCGTGGGATGCACACCAATGTTTGTGGAAAGTAAGGGTACAAATTGCCGATAGTGGTGGGAGATGTGGTAGCATGTGTGGGAATCTGGTTTCGCAGCTTGTTTTTTCCCCACAAGATCGGCTCCAGAAAGAGTGAGCTTTCCCCTGGCTGCAAAGTTTAGGCGAGACTCCTCCCAGTGGGGCCATGTTTGAGATGGAAAAGGATCCAGGGTTTGGAAGCTGCACAGAGGGAGGTTGCCTTCGGTCAGAAGGGGTTCAAAAGGCACTCTGCTGCAGACTCACATAGACTCATGTTTGTTCAGAAGCATCTTCTGGGGGGAAGGACCACCCTTTCAGTGTCCTTCTGCAAATTCGCAGCGGAGTATATGACGGCTCTTGCAGTTGACACACCCCATTTGAAGCAGCAGTGAGAACCAATCTCGGCGCAGCATTCAATTAGCCGAACAGAAACAAGTTACCGAATGTTCGTTTCAGGGTACACCCAGATGGTTTACTGTAAAGTCTTGCAACTGTGGGACAGCAAGCCCGAAATGGCAGCAAGTGCCTGGATCATTCAGTTTGTAGTGGAACCGAGGATGCGCAAACGGCGAATGGCTTCATTCGGGCATCCGATTCAGGTTAGAACATGCCCGACAAATCTACAACACACAAATTGCACTTGCAAGATGCATCTTGGAGATGCCCAGGGCGCACTCCAGGCAGCTTGCTCGTGTTGACGTAAAGCAACATGCGCAAAGCCATGATCTGATTCAAGCTGCTGCTCTTTATGTCTTTGGCAACTGGTCGGTCTCAAAACATGTGGCTGCAAGAGTTGGCAATCCTTGCGCCCAGAACTTGGCCGCGACCGTGGCTCCGTACTGAATATGCCGCCCGCTTCCAGCAGCTTTCATGGAAGGGTGAACATGTGCAACAACCATTGGCGGCTGCGCAGAGAATAGTATGAAGCATGCGCATCAAATTGCAGCACTTAGGTCAACGCTCGGGAAGGGCGTGTTTGCGCGCCAAAAAAGCTTTGGTGGCTTGTGCTGGCATGGAAGCCTGGCGCGTTGCAAATGCAAAAACGCGAGAGTGCGTGCGTTGCGCCAGCGTCCGTCGGGATGGTGGCACTCAACCACAGTGAGAAGCTACCTGAGACAAGATTGCCGGTTGTGCTCTTAACAGTTGCAGCAGCTACGTCGCGAAGTCAATGTGCCATGCTGCCGCGATCACTGTTGCATTTGGCGGGGAAGCTTGAGCAAACCAGGTATCTGCCACATATACCTTTTTGTGGAAGCAGACATCTCTGACGTTGCCGAACAAAAGCAGCGCTGGAAGGCATCAATGCCTCTCATTGCAAGTTTCTGGCATCTCGTGCAACGCACTTCTTGAGTAACACCTGCGCAAGTGCAACGGAGTGCGCTAATACTTCACTAGCAAGGGGGGCCCCCAACCTATGATCCTTGCAATGCTGCCCATCGCAGGACTGGTGTGGCTTTGTTCGGGAAGTGGCACAGGTGGCTCTTGCTTGAAGCCCGTTCCTGTGGGAACACAACCGTGCCTAGAGGGCTGTTCTTTGAGCAGGCAAAGAAAGCTGGACGCGATGTGTTTCCTTGGATGGATTAATTTTTGGATGTCCCATTCTCTTCACCGATCCTTTTCTTCAACCCGTGCACATGTCTGAAGAGTTTTGAACAGACTACGTCTAAAGTTCTTGTGCTCCGCCGGGCCAAGGCAGCTGCTACAACAAGCCAGATGAGCCACTCGAACCGCAAGCAATCGCAAGCGCTTGGTGCGCCCTTCGACCAGACCCCAACAAGTGGCTCATGTCCATGTGGTGTCCCTTGAGCAATCCAACTAAAAAAGGGGTGCAAATGTCGCACTGAATTCTGACTGTCACACTGAATGGCGTTCAAAGCGAATCACCATGACACGTTCGTGTATCCTACTCCAGGCTTTGCCTTGCGGGATATTGAATCTTTCCAGCTGAGGCAGAGCGACAGGCTCCGCGGCTGCAGTGAGTTGCGCTGTGGCTGGAATCCTGTAGACTTCTCGGCTGTCCCCGGAAACACAAGGTTCATGTTCGAAGCAGGGGACACAGCGTGTTACATTTGAAGGAACAAGGAATTGTAAGCGACACATGTTTCACCCAAGTCCTTGGTTTGATACGGAGAAAGCGCATGGTTATCGCTTCGAATGTCAGGGGTCTCTATATTTCCCATGCATAGGCCCGCTCGAGCGTCGCCTGCGTATTTGGTTGCCATTGCAAGGTGAGTATGGCCCAGTTGTTCAGCGGCCTCCTTGTTTCCAATGTTGTTTGGCAAGTTGCCCTCTAGAAACTGTTCAGCCTAGCACGAGCGCTGCGTTTTTGTGCCACTGGGCAACAAACGTGTACAAGTCTGTGAATGTGTTTGTGCGTTTAAAAGGAAGCCAAAAGGAAGCCCACAGCTTTGAAGAAGCCATGCGGAGCCAGCCTTTTGATCTCCCAGGAGGCGAAGCGGGCGACGACGAGACAGGACTTTGGCTTTGGGGGCCCATGTAGAGCAAGCATGCGAGGATCGCCTCGGGGTTTTACGGGGGAACTGTGAAACAGACGACCGCCATGTTGGGGGGTTCTAGCTTGAGCTTCACCTGTTGGGCCCAAAAAACTGTCCTCTGGGCGATTTTCAGAGGGCACCAGAAAGGGACTCTGACAAAATACCGGCTTCAACCAAGAGGGCGTTTGAGGTGAAGCTTGAGCGGTTCTGGTACCCGGGGGGATGTAAATTGTTCTTACTTGGTTGGCCCTGCTAGGTCTTGTACTGTCTGAGCAACGTTCCGATACTCTCCATACCATTGCCTACAAATACCTGCTTCAAATTCCAAAGAACTCAAACAAGCACGTCCCTTCGATAAGGGCTGGGGGGGGTTGTTGCTTCGGGGGGGGGGGAGGTTGTGGTGTTCTTCGGAAGGGAGGGAATTGCTGTTCTGCGGGTGGGGGGGGGGTGTTTGCATTTCAAGGGACTCCCCTCATTGGGCTTTCAGATTCTTTCGAACAAGAACTTGGAAACTGGGAGTTCTGGCCCTGGAAGATAAGTTCCCTCTAGAGACCATAGGTTCCGCAGTGGGTGACATCATGTTCAGCTGGCAGACTTTAAATGCCTGCAGGGACAGACTTAGATCGCAATTCGCCCTCTTGCTGGCCAATGGACTATTATGAACGTGTCCATTGGCCAGCCAGCAGACATACGATGTATGCACACGTGCATTATGTATATATGGGTATGAGTGAAAACTAAGCCACGAGGGGACCGCAGGTTTTAGTCCTTGTTTCCATTTACCAGGGTTCCATTCTGGGTACCTATGTTTGACCCACACCCATATGAGTGTGATGTATCTGGGTGTTTTTTCGTCTCTTTGCGGGACGAGTAAAAGCGAACCGCTGAAGTCCGCAGCTGCGAGGACAGTTCAGTGCATAGGTGCGGGCCCCAGCGCCACCATTTGGACCAAAAACCGTTGGAAGGAGAGCGAGTGTTCTTTGGTTTCGAAGCCCCCAGGCAAACCCAATTGCTACCCTTGTTCCAGGGTATTGGGCAACCATGCTCAACAGAAATGATTGCGACTGGTAAATGATTCCCTTGTCTTGGATCAGGGGGCAATAGCAGCGAGAGTGCGTCGCCGGGCCAAAGTTCAGCCAGAGCGCACCAACCTTTCTGAGGCCACCGTAATGAATCCTGTGAAAAGGAGACTTGCAATATTCGCACACGCGCAGTTCTGGGGGTTTGTAGCATCCTATGCGCTGAGTGGAGTGAGCTTTGCAACGTTTACAGTAACTTTATTCATGAGGGACCACAAGTCAGGAATTATTATTGAGGCAATGCCAAATCGACAGTTTCAAAACGGGTTCCACGCGCTGGCAAGACTCTGTCAATGATTAAAGTTTATATGGAATGCCTGATAAATTACAAATATGAATCAACCTTTGGCTCGCCTTCTTGAAAGTGCATGGCTTTTTTGCTTGTGGCGCGGATGTGAAGAATCACTGCGCGTGAGTCCTGCTTAGGCATGCGTATTTAGGGGTCACCTGCAACGACGGTTGGGTTCCAACGTGTTCTGGCTTAAGTGGACTGTATAGGCCCAGTGTATGGTTGAAGCCTTTGAGCCACACTGCATTGTGGTGGCAACAAGAGTGGTCTGGGTGAATGGTCGTACACCCAACAGAGAATGCGGCTTTGCCAATATCCATAGCGTCACGACACCCAGATCTCACGGCCCATAGGCTGCTTGAAATGCCACAAGGGATGGGGAGCAGCCGTCATTTTTTTGTGCTGCCCCGGACTTCCGAATGACGCGCCATAGGGCCGAACCACTACGACGGTCCTGGCCTCAGAGCCAGATGGGCCAAGAGCAGTGATTTTCGGTGGCCCCCCCTCTGGTGCAAGTCTGAAATGGAGCAACCTGGAGCATGTTTTTCGGTGTGTTAGCTTGCAGTTTCCCGAGCAAGCTGAGGATATTCCTGCCCAGGCGGGTGTGTGCGGGTTCAAAGCAGAGTCTTGCCATGCAATGTTCGCCAGGCAACGTGGACAGCAAGTGCAACTTTTGGTGAGCGAAGTGCGAGGACCTTAGCAGGAAACGCGCCATCTGCCTGCCAAAGCCCCGACAGACCTCGCTTGAGCACGGGCCCGACAGGATCTTGCGCTGGCAACAAACAAATGCGGTCGTTAGCTTGATGTAAAACATGGAAAATCATTTTGACGGGACGGGGGGCTGCGATCATGTCATTGGATTTGGGTGGGTGTCCAACTGTGTGGAGTATGCATTTGTTGAATCGGCTTGCGAAACATGTGAGTTTTCAAAGGAAGCTTGGATGAGAAACTTCCGAGTCGCGAACGACCCAAACCAGACAAGCCAAGAAATGACAAAGCAAAAAGATAGCCACAAAGCCGAGAAGAAAGATAGCCAAGCAAGGCAAAGCAAAGACATAGCCGAGCAAAGACAGCAATGCAAAGACATAGCCAAGCAGAGAAAGACATCGCAGAGCAAAGAAACAGCAAATCAACCTTTTGCGCACTTTCGGCTAGTAGACCTTCAACAATTCTTTGTTTTTGCGATTTCGATTTTGCCAGATTTTGAAAAAGTGACCTCTCTGTGCACTTCTGGTTGGTTTCAAGTTGCCGGCTCTTCAAACAGAGAGTCCGCTGCGCATTTTCGGTTCCTCGGCTTCAATACCAAGCGTTTGCGCGGGGCAGGTTTCGAGGCAGGTACAGCACGTTGCGAGCTGCGGTTGTCGCGAGGGGAACCTCGAAAACGACCGCGCCCGGGGTTTGCTCGGATTCTGCTTGGAACTGGCTGCATTGGCGTGGTAATGCGCACTGCTTCGAGGGAGGGGGGAGTGGCAACTCGCTTGGGTGAGGTGGCTTCGAAAGAGTTCCTGCTAAATTCCCCCCCTTTCCCCTCTCCGCATACTTGCGATACCTAAAAACTAAGGACCAAACGCATTGAATAAATGATTATGATTTTAGAGGTTTTTAGCAAAGCCTTATCCCGGCAAGAGACCCAAATAGCATGGGATTTAACTTGACAACAGGTGGCCTGGAGGCATAGAAAGACGTTAGATAAACCCTGACACCTCTCCCACCAGATAAGCGTAGCTGTGATTTCTGATGAGCAAGCTTCGCATCATGTCAACTTCTCGTGCGCTCGATGCTGTGGCTTGCTGCGCACGAAGCTGTGCGTGATGTTGCGCATGATGTCACATAACGTTGCGCACGATGCTGCGCATGATGATCTGCAACCTCTCTTGCCAAATCTTTCATGTCCTCTCTTGAGAAACTCTTGAGAAACTCGTTTTAAGTACAAAAGCCACGCTCCAGCTGCGAAGTTGCAACTTTTCGTGTCGAAGGATCCGCGCAGCGAAAGCACTTCCACACGCACAATCTCCGCCGAGGGTTCGCCGAGCTCAGACACATGTGCACGGCGCCACAACGAGATCGGCTCGACATGCACAATCTCCGCAGAGGATTCGGAGACACTCACGCGGCGCCACAGCGAGGGAGCGCTTCGGCACGCACAATCCACAGCGATATTGCTTCGGCACTTGCTCGAGCTCAAGACACATGCTCACGGCGCCACAGCGAGAGCGCTTCACCACGCACACTCTCCGCAGAGGATTCGCGTTAAAGCGCTCTGGCTGTGGTGCCGTGCGAAAGCGTCTCGGGTTGGCGACTCTCGAGGCGTTGCGTGCTGCAGCGCTCTCGCTGTGGTGGCGCGTGTGTCTTCAATCTTCAGCTTGGCGCGTGATCTCCGCAGAGGGTTCGCCGAGCTCAAGAGACATTCGCACTGCGCCGCAGCGAGAGCGCTTCGACACGCGCTACACGCCTGAGGTTTACTGGAAAATTGCCAAAAATGCGGTTTGTGCAAGGAGGCCCGCAAAAGCTCAGCGCGCACTTTTTGTATTGTCCCTGCTAGCAAAAGCCGAAAAGTGAGCAGGGTGCCACAATGAAAAAATACTGCCTACACGAACCGGCATTTCGCACGAGACTTTCGCACGAGACTTTCGCACGAGACTTTCGCATCGAAAACAACTTTTTACGCGTAGGGTCAACACTTTGAGCGTGTATTATTGGTTATAACCCTGTAGTCTAAATATTATTCGGGGACACCGTGTCGCCCCCGTGTCACCTGCGTGTCACCCCGAATAGATCGCTGCGAACAACACGTAGTTTTAGCGTGTCGCCCCGTGTCGCCCCGTGTCACCTGCGTGTCACCCTGTGTCGCCCCCGTGTCACCTGTGTGTCACCCAGTGTCGCCTGCGTGTCACCCCGTGTCGCCTGCGTGTGACGCCGTGTCACCGTGTCACCTTGTCTTTTACTGTGTGGGACAACGTGAAACGACCGTAGATAGGGGATCTACTGTTTTTTGTTCTATTTCCCGAAGTACTGCCAAATACCCGGTAGTTCCGAACATAAAATTTTGATTATCTCAATTCTTAAAAAAAAATCAAACAAAACTTACGAACGCAGCGACATGGGGTGACACGCAGGTGACACGGGATGACACGGGGTGACACGCTAAAACCGATCTATTGTGTTCTAGCGTACTCTGACACGCTAAAACCGGTCTATTGTTGTTCTAGCGTACTGACACGGGGGCGACACAGGGTGACACGCAGGTGACACAGGGGCGACACGGGGTGACACGCAGGTGATACGGGACGACGGGGTGATACGCCAAAACCGATCTATTATTGTTCTAGCATACTGACACGAGGGTGACACAGGGTGACTCGGGGTGACAGGGGTGACATGCTGTGAGGCCCTTGCTGCACTTGCTGCCGCCCCTTGATTGCTATCACCCTTGGTATGGCATGTCACCGTTGTAAGCAGTAGCTAGCATAGTTAGACTGGGCATCTCGCAAATAAAATAATTGACAATAATTTTTCTAACTACGGTCGTTTTTGGAGAAATGTCTATTTACTGCCCTCGGGGCAGTCGGAGGGCGCTGGTATATATAGATTTGAATTGAAATTTGGGGAAATCAGTATTACAGAATAATTGAGGTTTATACATAGGTAAATTCTATAATATATATAATTATAATTAATTAAAATTGTAACAATAGGTAGAAAATTGTCAAAATGATAGTATGTGTTAATTTAGATTAAAACAGGATATTATTGAGGTTTTTGTTGATGTTGTTTTTTAATGGGATTGAATTATGGTTTTATTTATATTTGTATTTTTGATATGATTGTTTGTTTTTAGAAATATATTTTATATTATATATAATATTTGAATGTTGAATTTGAAATAATTATTTATTGTGGAATATATATATATATATATGTTTTGTGATATTATTTAATATAATATAATATATTAAATTGGATTGGATATTAAATATATATATATAAATATATATGTTTAAAATAATATATTAATTTATAATAATATATAATAAATTTGTTCCTAAATATTAATTTATATTATAGAAATTATATTAATTTATAATATTTAAATATAATAATTATATATTATTTAAAATTTATAATTAATAAATTATATTTATAATATTGTTTTATAAATATATTATATATAATAGTATTCTATAAAATAATATTTATGAAATTTATTTATCGCACTTATATGTTTTTGTTTTTTTTTGTTGTTTTTTTCCCCCGATTGTTTTGCAGAAAAATTCTGGATATCGGAAAAAAATGGTTTGGTTTGTTTTTGGAAATATTCCGAATATTTTAACGATAATATTTCCCGAATTATTTAGATAATTTCCCGAAATATTCGGAATATTTCGGGAAATTAGTCCTTGCAAAAAATGAAATCATTATGTCTTGTATATATGCCGGGGTAATCTGGGCAAATTTAAACAAATAAACCATAAGAAATATAAAATCATTATATTTTTGGAAAATTGGTTTGGAATATAATTATGGAAATATCCGGATATTTCGGAAACATGGGCCGGGTTTTGAACGAAATTATTGTATTTTCTAGATTAAGAGTTTAGGCTTATATCTGTTCATCTGTAGCCGTTGAACGAAGCCGTTGTGTCTTCCAGATAAAGAATCGGGCGGATCCGTTTTCACCTTGTTCCGGCGACCGCCTTTTACTGACTTTTTGGCATGATCTTATCGCGACTAGCCCGGCCTTCAGTGCGTCTCGCGACTTGTGTTTGGAGAACGGCAGCATGCATTCCCATACGAACATACATTTTTTGATATATATATATATATGAAATGATAAAATATATTGGTGTAAGATTTGGACCTTGGCCCCTTTAATTTGGCCCTTTTTTGGCACCCACCTCAATTTACTTCTAATTGTTGGTTTGGATTGGTGGTTTGGGGATTGAATCCCTGGATTATATTGAAGTTGAATGGGAAGCCACCCCCTAACCTCCAAAATATCGATCCAAACTACGAATCCAAATCGGGCCGGTAGTAACCCGGGGTGCCCAGTCTTGTAACTACCTCCTGGCCGCGGGAGCGGCGGGGCAGCGTCGAGACAAGCGCGTGACAAATCGTTTCCCACTGGCTTGCTCCATTGGGCGAGGGCGGCTAGCGGCCGAGAGCTCGCACGTGCATTCTTGCAGCCCGTCTGCATCACGGCTCTCGGGCTCGGAGTCGGATACGTACACGTGCATAGGCGAAGCCTGTGGCATGTCGACATCAGAATTCGGCGCTCTGCGCGCCGGAGGTGTGTCTTTTTTTGTATTTAATATGTTTGAATTAATTGGTTTTTTGTAATTATAGATAGTTATTATTGGTTTTGATTTTGGGGGGAATGAATTTGGAAGTCAATTTTTTTAAGCCGAAATTTGTATTTTTAGATTGATATTCGAAAATAAAATAATATAATAAAAATATAATAAATTGGAATTTATATATAATAAAATCTAATGTTGTATTCATTTTTATATTAGATAATTAATAGAAATTTATAAAGATTCTTGTGCTTTTTTAGGGGGAATTGATTTGATGAAATTAATAAAAGGATATTATATTATTATTTTTTTGGAATGATATTTGAGATATTGATGGTTATATAAGTTCATTTTTGCGAGATTGATCGACTATGTTGATGTAGGAGTAGTGTTTAGGATGTTGCGTTATGATTTGAAATCGTAATATATTATTTGGTGTATATATAGAAATATATTTTGTTTTTTAGATTTATATAGCAACATATATAGTATAATATAATATATATATATAATGGATTTTTTGGGAATGGATTTATATGATTTTTATTTTCAAAAAAAGAATTAATTTGTGAGTGAACGAGATTCTATTTAATTGTATTTTATTGATTATATAATGAATTATATTAATTATTATATTATATATTTAATTTTTGAATTAATAATTATATTATGAATATAATAAATATATAAGATATAATTATAATATATGAAATATAATAATTTAATTAAATATATATAATTAAATATATAAATATATTATATGAATTAATAATATTTTTTTTTTGGGAATGGATTTATATGATTGTTATTTTCAAAAAAAGAATTAATTTGTGAGTGATCGAGATTTTATTTACTTGTATTTTATTGATTATATATTGAATTATATTAATTATTATATTATATATTTAATTTTTGAATTAATAATTATATTATGAATATAATAAATATATAAGATCTAATTATAATATATGAAATATTATAGTTTAATTAAATATTTATAATTAAATATATAAATATATTATATGAATTAATAATATAATATATATTATAATATATTAATAATATTAATGAGAATTATCGAATATATATATATATATATTATTATTATTATTAAGAATATTTGAATTAATTATAAATATGTTTATTATAATATCTATGTTATTTCGATAAAATCATAATTATATAAATAATTTAATATTAAACATATTAAATAGAATTAAATATTATTTAAAAAACAATATAATAAATTTTATTTGTTTATACTATATATCTAGTTAAATTATTCTTGTTATATTTTTATATAAAAAATTTTTCTTGTTAATTTTAAAAAAACATATTAATTTCAAACTAATTGGAAATTTTGGATCTGAGCCCAGATAGGCTCCGGGCTAGTCCAGACGACCTTAAGATAAGATTTATTTTATAATAATATTTAGACATTCCTATTGTTTAATACGTCACTCACCCCACAATATCATAAATAAATCCTATTAATATATCGCAAGAAAAATACACATTTATGATGTAATTGCCTTATCCGATAATAATATAACAATTTTTCTATATGGACAATTTATTTAATTATAATACAAGTATAATATAAAATAAAAAGAAAACAACAATTAAGAGAAAATATAAAAGAAGAAAATCAAATAACAAAGATATATTTTAAATAGAATTATATTAAAGAAATAAAATATAGAAAAAGAAAGGAACATAGAAAAAGATTCTAAAGCTTATAAACAATACAAACAAGAAATGGAGAGAGACTCGTGATTTTAATCTAATGTTTTTTGGATGTTTTCTTTGTGTTATTTATCTATTTCTTTTTATTTCTTTAAATTAATTCATTTTATGATTATAATTTTCTATGTTGAAAAGATCCTAATAAGAAGATAAATCGTTGAGATTCGTGAATTAATTCTTTCCGTCACGTCACACTAATTAATCCCAGAGCCTTTTTTACCTACAAACAAATTCTCTTTCTCTCACTGGCCAATTCTTTCCATCGATTACGCAATCATACCTATATAATTTCTCATTAACCTCTGTTTATCTAAATTAGACTACAAATTTACAAAATATTCAAATCATATCCATAAATGCTTAACATACCATATTTCACTAAGATATATTGTAATATTCTTGAATTCTGTGTTTATAATCAATCCTATACAATATACATAATAATCTTCCAATCAGTTGCTAACCACCAATACCCATAACAAACATTTCCCCTTAGGACATTGTTTCATACGTATTACAACCAAGATCATACAAATATATCTCTAGCGTCCCTAATTATTTTATACCTATCCATATATATATATATTCATCTATATTCAGATTATGAATTTAAAAAATAACCGAATCATATTCATAAAATTTGTGCCTATCCTTCTAGAAATTATATCTATCATGAAATTTAGATCTGACCTTATGAACATTCTATATCTACCACGAAAAAATGAGTTAATTAGTTTAACGAAATCTAAATAATAAATTAAAATAGATTATATAAATATTCAAATATAATATAATATATAATTCAATCCAAATCTTTAAATCGAGATATTCGAGGACACTAACGAGAAACTAGAATCAAGAAATAAAATCTCGTCCAATTTAAGCACGAAGATTATAAAAAACACCACCATACATCAAAAATATTCGAAACACTCATCGATAGCCAAATTTTCATCATCTTTACAATACACCTCCAAAATCACCTATGCAAACGGCCAAACGCCGCCTCCCAATACCTTTCACATGCCGAATAACAATGTCTCTATAATTCCAAAATTCAAAATATGGTTTTCATTTATCATACAAATAAAGAATCGAAATATTAATATATTCCTGGGTCCTCCGTCTCCGGGTTATTTCTCTGTTTTTCCGTTCTCCGGGATATTTCCAGGAGACCCTCTGAAAACTAGGAGTTTCAGGTGTTTCAAATGCAGGAATCAAAAAGCAGGAGTGGCTTGCAAAAGGCAGGAGTGAACATCAAAAACTAGGAGTGGTTCTTGGGGGAATCAATTGGATTCAAGTTTTGTTGTCTTTTTTCGTTGTTTGGGCGCGCAATTGTGCAACTCTGTACACTATCCCAGCAATTATGCAACTCTGCACTGGAGTGGGTATTCCACTGATTTTACTACGCACACTCCGGAAACTCCGTCTTTTTTTGATTT